GGCATCAGTTTATCTAATTTCGACAATAGATCAAAAAGTTGACCTGGTAGCGCAAAACCAATGTGATTTTTGGATTTCAGAAAAATTTCATTAAAATTATCCTAGATCAGCTATAAAAAATTAGACCTTTTTTTCACTGTTGACCAGTGTTATTAATGTCCTGGCTTATTGCCAAAAACTCCACCAAGTAAACAGTTAAATGACAGTTTTCAAGAATAAGTAACTCAGTGTCTCTTTGGGGTCACTTTTGCCGGTCCCAAGCCCGGATATAAAACAAGAAACAAGAATCGACAGAAGAAAGTTCATTTGTAGTTCCAAACGTATTTAGGGTGTTTTTAACCACCTTGTCTCTCACAGGACATTATTCCTCTCTCCTACAGCGTCCATTATAATTACATGCACATTATGCAAATTAGGCGATGGCGTCATTTAGCGACTTCTAGCGAAGTCTAGCGACTTTTGGGACAACCAATAGCGACTTTCCTTGCTGAGGAGTTGGCAACAGTGGTTCCGAACCGGCTGCATGATTCCGGCTGTAGAGGGAGCAAACCGGCGGATTCACTCATGGCTGTGAGTGATCCGGGTGCGCTAACCCGCTTGGGTGAGCGGTTCCGAAACAGCTGCATGATTCCGGCTGTAGAGGGAGCTAATTCACTCATGGCTGTGTGTGATCCAGGTGCGCATGAAGTTGTAGCAGCTATACTTGCTACTATAGCTGTATTGATCTTGTAATGAGTTTGAAATGATTATAAGAGGTATGTACGTGATGGGCTTTATAGTTTAGTCATGGGGTAGTTAGGACTCGATGGATTCAGGTTAATGGAGACCTCAGATTCGTGACTCATGAGTTATTTAACGGATCCGGGTTATTCACCCGGATGAGTCATGAATCGCCCAGCTCTATTTTGGTGCATTTATGCAATAACCGTCCAGCTTTTCTGCAGTGAAAAAAGCTCTTCTGTGCCGAGCCATAGAGGTCCAGTGAAGCTGCACTTCAGGATCGAGGATTTAATGCAATGTGCTGCACGGAAATGTATGAGAAGAAAATCGTATCAAGCAATCTACAATAAATAGCTGATTCTGAATGAACTCGTCATGAAGTTAAGCTTGTTCTAGTGCAATTTTATTAAAACCAATATAAATACGACCGTGCATACATAAATATTTATTTTCTGACATATTAGAGGAAGCGGAGCTTCCCCCTGTAGTCTTAGAGCAGTCGCCATTGCTACCAATGTACTGTATAATCTTATTTTTTTCCCCTAACAGATTTGTTTGTTTTTCAATTGAATCGTACAGGTTGTAGATTTTTGAAATGATTTATCATGGTCTCATAAGAACATAAGAAATTTACAAACGAGAGGGGGCCATTCGGCCCATCAAGCTCGTTTGGGGAGAACTTAACTAATAGCTCAGAGTTGTTAAAATCTTATCTAGCTCTGATTTAAAGGAACCCAGGGTTTTAGCTTCCGTTACACTAGCAGGAAGACTATTCCATACTCTAACTACACGCTGTGTAAAGAAGTGCTTCCTCAAATTTGTTTTAAAATGTTCTCCCGCTAATTTCCACTTATGGCCACGAGTTCTAGTATTTAAACTAATATTGAAATAGCCATTTGGCTGAACAGCATCCAAACCCATTAGAATCTTATATACCTGGATCATGTCCCCCCTTAGTCTCCTTTGCGCGAGGCTGAACAGATTAAGCTCAGCTAACCTCTCCTCATAAGACATTCCTCTAAGACCAGGAATCATTCTTGTAGCCCTCCGTTGCACCTTTTCTAAGGCAGCAATGTCCTTCTTAAGGTATGGTGACCAAACCTGCACACAATATTCTAGGTGGGGTCTTACCAAGGAATTATATAAATGTAACATCACCTCCCTTGACTTAAACTCCACACACCTAGAGATATAACCCAACATTCTATTGGCCTTTTTTATTGCTTCCCCACACTGGCGAGAATGAGACATGGAAGCATCAACATACACACCGAGATCTTTCTCATAATCAGCTACCTTTATTTCAGTGGAACCCACAAAATATCTGTACTTTATATTTCTGCTCCCTACATGGAGTACCTTACATTTATCTGTGTTAAATTTCATCTGCCAGGTATCAGCCCAGTCACTAATTAAATCCAGATCCCGTTGTAGCCTCTCTGCTGCTGTCTCATTTTTTATATCACAAAAACCTGCCATTTTAACAGGGGTGTGTACACTTCTTATAAACAGTCTATGTCATCTTTTAAACATGAATACCTGGAATGAACTAGTGACCGATGTGGAAGGGCAGCTGACAACCAGAGAAAGACCAGGTGACGGCCTGGAGAGACTGCTGACAGGAGGGAACAGACCCCACTGGGGCTGGCACGGACTAGTGACACATGCTAGCACGACCCACTGCTAGTCAGCGTTCCTGGATACACCCACCATTGCTAAGAAATTTTCAAATCAAAGCATACAGTCTGCGAGAGCGGGGGTGCTTGATGACTCACAGACGGACTACACGTGAACAGACCAAGGAAAGAGATTGACAAAGAACTAGACGTCTAGAACTGAAATTGACGGATCATCAGCACCGGCAGAACAAAAGCTGCAGAGATGCATCTGTGGCTGGTCGAAGCTAACATCAGAGGAGGGTCTTAAGATCCATCAAGGCAGAAAGAAGTGCCTTAATGAGCTCAGCAAGGGGCCTTGCAACGACCAGTACTTCTTTAGAAGTAGGTTAAATCAGTCAAGTGAAACCCAGTGGCAGGAGAACCCCCACAGTCTGCAGGGTATCAGCACCCTGAACGAAGCTCACGCCGCTGCAAGTTCAGTCTGGCAGCTGGCTGCATGGCTCAATGAGCTGAGTGTGTGGCTACCTATAAGCCCCTCAGCTATATGTTCAAATCCTGCCGTCTCTATTTTTGTAGATGTTGTTCCCTAGTGTTTCATTTGTATAAGTATTCTAGTTCTTGTGTTTTGTGATTTGTATTTGGTTTTGGTTTCTTGCTTTGTGCCCGTCGTCGTGTTTTACCTGCCTGTTATTCCCTTAGTGTTAGATTCTGTTTCCTAGTTTGAGTTCATGATTTAGTTATATTGGTTTCACCTGTTGCCTGTTTTACAAGCCCATGTTAATTGTTCTCGCCTGTCCTGCATTATTCTTGTTATCCCTCAGTATTTAAGTTCCTGCCTTAGTTCAGTTCCTAAGTGGATTTTTGACACATACAATGTCCTGTCTTCTCTCCTAAATCTCTGGCTGTGAGGGGATCCAGCTGGTCCTCTGTGTACAGCTCCAGCAACCCTCAAGCACATGTTAGTCTGATGCAAGACCGGCCTAACACAAGGCAGATATACTTGGTGACACAATCAAGTGTTAAAGTGCTTGGCAGCTGAATTAGAGAGCGAGTAACCATCAATACCATACGTCTCAACAAGCAGGCAGCACCCCAACAACCTGCATCCTTCATCTGAGAAGGGGAAAAACCTAAGACTAGACGTGTAATAGAGAGAACGAGGGGAACGGAATGCGGGGCATGACAGTTTTTTTGCTCCAAGTAAATGATCTATTATTAGGATACTTTAGTCTATAGGTATCAACAAGACTATAAACCTATTCATAGAGGCTTTAAGACTAGAATTGGTTGTTTGGCTGACCAGGAAGCCATTATTCCATATTGCTATCCAAAATATTGTAAATGTCCCCACCTAACAATAAAGTCACATTTGGGAATTTATCTGACCAGGCTACCAAAGTGTTCTGTACAGATAGACAAAGGAACGTAGGTTATAAATCCATTTTTATTTTCCCGCTGTTCCTCCAATAGCGGAAGTTGTCATGATATACGTCACAGCAAGTCAGAACTCGGATAAAAACCTCACTTCCCGTCAGAAACACGCCTCCTTTCTGACGTTGATGTCGGACAGCTATCAAATAGCAGCCACCAAATCTTGTGACCCCAACGCAACTGAGGAAAAATCAGGGACTCTGCATTCAAAAACACTTTGGGTGACTTGTCATCATTGTACATGATGATATGAGAAAGATTACGTGATTGGGTTGCACCAACCACCTTCAGCAGAGGGGTCACGATATTTGATAGCAGCCACCAAACCTTGTGACCCCAAAGCAACAAGGGAAAAACAAGGACTTGGCAATCAAAAACACTTCAGGTGCAAATAGAAATTGTAATCCTGGAAATATTACATATCTTGGGTATTCAGGTTCTCTCTGTCAATAACACCGCTGTCATCAGATTTTGTGACCCAAGTGTGGCTACAGGACAAGCAACAATGTACCATTCATGCTCAGGCAACAATGTGCTGATTGGGTCTTTAAAAAGACATGTTCGTCGAGTTTATACACTTCAGACAGCTGTTGTCTCATCATATACAGCATTCTTACATTTACTGACACTTGAAAATAGGCTTGCCACCCGTCCGTTTTAATACGGGATCGTCCAGTATAAAATACGGTAAGGAGCATTTTATTCCAGTTCCAGTACGAAACGATCCCGCATTATACAAGATGGGTGGCGACACTATATTTAATTGTGACAGTAAATGTAGTGCACTACAATACAGAATACGGTGCATAACAAAATTGGCTGCATCAGCCGATTTGGCAAGAGTTGTGTAAGTATCAGAAAGTGATAGACAGCAGTTATAATGTAGCATAAAGTAAGATGATGAAACTGAGAAGCAGAACTATCGTGTTGTTTTTCACAGTTATGTCTTTGAAATTTCCCATACAGGCATTGTAAAGCGGAGATAACTTAAAAACAAAATAAAATAAAGCGTTAGATAGAGTTAAATAAAAGCGAATAAACGGGGAAATTAGACAGTGCTGTGTCTAATTTCTCCGTTTATCCGAAATGCCGACGCATTTCGGAGCTCAGAAATATCCACTTTCGTAGCCTCCTATATATTTTGCAAGAACATGCAGTTAAATTGTATAGCGTAAAATGCGTAGATAGCTCGTGCACGTGAACGGGAACCTCGCGAACGTGTGCAGCAGCGCCTCTAGGGTCACAGAATTCGATGGATTTGCATAGCACCGAACAAGACATACTGTAGATTTGCATGTATTCAGTCGAGGTTTTAACTTCTTAGCTTGTAGTTTAAAACTAGTATATCCCTATGTCTGAACGTGTTTGCGGAAAACGCTCAAGGCTAAAGTTCAGCAGTTAATTCTTAACTTCAGGAAGAAAGAAAGCGAGATTGAGAGAGTTCATACAGAGGCGAGGCAGCTGCTCTTTCACTTTTCTACAAGCCTCGGAGGTCATTTTTAACAGTACTGTGAGTATTATTTGTTCATTTGATATAACTGTAAAATGTTTTTAGCCGAAGTCGTACTCTATATAATAATCGAATTATGCAACGTTTTAACTATAGCGCTGAAGCATTTGTGTATTTTTACAGATATAGTAATCGTGGAATTTTGTTTTTGTTTTTGCACCGTATTGTCCAAAAATGCTGTAATTGGTTGAAGATATTTTTAATGTATGTATCTGAATAATACATCACTATTTACAAGTTACGGTACCGAAATCTCCCCGTAACCCTGAATAGAATATAAGCGGTTGCAGAAAATTTACGGGTGAATGGGTGGGTACAGAAATCTGATGGAATGAAGAGATTATTAAAAATGCAAAACTATCCTGAGGCAGGGTTGCCAACTCTCACGCATCTGGCGTGACACTCACGTTTTCGGAATCACACGCTAGACATCTTACGGCAAATCTATATTATTCCATTTTTAAGTTAGAGTTGCCTACATCAAAAGGGTTGGGGCAGTTTGCAATCCTTACATACTATATATTTACAAGGCCATACAACTGTTACATACATGTAAAAGCGTGTGTATGGGGCGCCGTTTGTAAAGTTACGAAACATTTTTGTACTTGCCACTTTTTCAACATTTAGTGCAATTTTCTGACATTTAGCTAGAAGTCAATGGTGTTGTGGATCATCATATTTTTTGCTGTGTAGATTATTTGCACAATTGTTCATCATATGTAAATATAAATGGTATGTCTATATATAAATATTAAATGTAAATGTCAAATATAAATGTTAAATGTAAACGTAAATATAAAAGTTAAATGTAAATATAAATGTTAAATATAAAAGTTAAATGTAAATATAAATGTTAAATATAAATGTTAAA